GTTTCAGATTTAATACACTGTACCAACGAGCCAAATGTCTCGATACCTCAGCTGGCGAATCTTCTGGTGGAACGTTCACAGAATACGAACTGGACAGTTGTATTTAAAGCCCTCATTACGGTACATCATATGATGTGTTATGGAAACGAGGTAAGATTCATTAACACGATAAATATCCATTTTTCATTGGTGAGTTTCGAGGCCATTAATTTATGGTTCGTTTCGCAGAGATTCACGCAGTACCTCGCTTCGAGCAACAGCACTTTCCAGCTCAGCAATTTTCTGGACAAGAGCGGTGTGCAAGGTAAAACAACACGTACCATAAATTCATGGGGATAAAATTTTAAATTCTAATTATCTCCACCAAAGTTCCCCTCTTGACGTCACTTTCAAATCAAATTGATTTTTTCAATCAGGAATTCTGGACAGGATTAATGCCCCAGTCAATGAGCTTAGCCTCTTTTTAAGTAATTCAATATATTTATTTAACGATTTTCCCTCTTTTTCAAATGCTTTGGTGAAGTACAAGTCACTTAATATCATCCCATGAATAATAACTGGACAATAATCACGGATAAACAATGTGTTGATCATAATTATCTTTGTATTCATCCTCCCAATTCTCCATCATCATTCACTCACAAATTAAATTCCTCACACATTCACAAATGAATACCGATAATTTCCAATGAGTTTTGCACGATGAATGAATTTTTTAAGAATAAACAATATCTCCCCCAACATGTAAAACTGCACACGATTAATTTCTTTTTCCATGTGCCTGTCTCTGACATTACTAACCTCGGGTTATTTTATCTTTGTTTGGGAACAGCAGGAGCACGTGTTGGTGAGTGTCTAATGCTAATCAATGACTAGATTAATCATTACCCCTGTGTACCAGACATTAATGATTTTTTAATGGCATACGGGGTCGCTTTAATTTTTTTTTCTTTTCCCTCTAGGATACGACATGTCACCCTTTATCAGACGATACGCTAAATACTTGAATGAAAAGGCGATGTCTTACAGAAGTGTGGCCTTTGATTTTTGCAAAGTCAAAAGAGGGTAATTTTCCACTGGTTTATCTGTTATTCAGACCAGGCATTTCTCAATAAATATCTCATGCTTTTAGGAAAGAGGATGGTACATTACGCACCATGAATGCCGAGAAACTACTCAAGACATTGCCGGTTTTGCAAGCACAACTTGATGCACTACTTGAATTCGACTGTTCTGCTAATGATCTTACGAATGGCGTCATCAGCATGTGCTTCATGCTCCTTTTCAGAGACTTGATAAGACTCTTTGCTTGCTATAACGACGGAATTATAAATTTATTGGGTAAGTATCCAGAATCATGACAACTCTATAGAAACTCCCGAAATTTCATCGAACTACACAAATGAGAAATTCCTAATTATGAACAATAATTATTTTTTTTAATAAAATTTCTGATAAGATTGAATGAATGGATTACCAAAAGAAATTGTATCGTTTCAATTAATTAATTATAAATTGAATTAAACCAATGTTAATTTATTCTTAGTCTCTGAATATTGAATAGCTGGAACGAAATACAAATACCGGTTGCATTGAATTATTCATTAAACATTATAAAAACAGAAATGTACCTGTCGGTTCATGTTTTGCATCGAACATTTTCCCAGGCTGTTATTCAGTCAAATAAATCTCAATAAACCCGATGATCTACCCCTGAATTTTTGTATTTACAGAGAAGTATTTTGATATGAACAAGAAGCAATGTCGTGATGCACTGGATTTGTACAAAAAATTCTTGATACGAATGGACCGAGTTGGGGAATTCCTCAAAGTTGCTGAGGTAAAATAAACTGCTCTCGAATATTTCAAAAAAAAAATATCAGATGGATTTCCTCTTGGCAATTTTTCAATTCCAGACTCATATGTCGTGAAGTACCTTATAATATTTATCCTTTGTGATGTAGAACGTTGGCATCGACAAAGGCGATATTCCTGACCTTACGAAAGCACCTAGCAGTCTATTGGACGCCCTGGAGCAACATCTGGCTTCCCTTGAAGGAAAAAAAGGCTCAGCAGCTAATACACCCACTCAGTCTGCCAGGTATATCCACTTTTCTCGTTAATAACGCTCATGATACTCTTGATTACAAAATGCGGTGTTTTTTCGATTCAAACTCATGATAAGTATTGATTCAGAAAGAAATATTTACTTAATTGTCTCTGTCAGATAAATTCAATCGATGATTAAGTTAATTAAACCCTCACCTGATTATTATTATTTATTTATCGTTCTCTTTGCCTTCACATAATTTTGTTTTATTCATTTCTTCATATTTTTCGTTTGAGTAAGATATTCATCGTGAATTCAGATCTTGATGAGTATTCCCTGCCATTCAAATATTTATTTGAGTCATTATTTATTTAATATTTTGCATACACTGCTCCACTTTACGTAGTTTTGTTATTTAGTTATTGGAGATAAATGTAGAATATTAAAAGCAGTGATAGCTTTTAAAATTTGTGTGTTACGTTGTTGTTACACTGTTGTTACAATGTCACACGCTGGATACGTAAGACAATTATCACACGTGTGGTGAATCGGTGAGGCTGGGGTGAAATGCACATCAGAAAAAATCGATTTCTTCTGAATTCAATAAATTAATTATTCTGCGTTAGAACATGAATTATTGATAAATTTAATTGAAAGCTGAAAATCTTGAATCCGCCTTTTATCTGCCGAATACAACATTCGAGAATATTTGAATATTAATTTGCCTTCGGCGATGTGGTTACTCCAGTTTCTCCAAAAAATTCGTGTTTGTGTGTGGCAAATCGCTACTGTATCAATTAGTGACCACGTGGCATGAACATTCATAGCAATTGGATTTTCAATCTAAACATGCATTTAGATCGTACTCCATACTGTAAATGTCGCTTAAACTGTCACAATCAATTTCAATTTATCCAATAGTGTTTCATCTGCACGTCGATTTGATAAAAAAAAAAATACACTCGCGACTTACACACAGACACGTCTAGCATCCCATACATTATACATAATTTTTCAATGTATTTTTTGCATCTATACGTACTACACAATTTTTCTTTGTTTTTTGTTTGTCTTTTCTCCTTTTTAATTTTCAAAATTATCAACGAATCCCGTAACAAATCCTTGATCATCCGAAAAAAAAAATCTATATTCTGGATTATCGAATCGGCCATTCCTGTTTATCCGTACACAAAAAAAAAACCGCAACCCCCATCATTGCCCCCAAAAGCAGCAATAGAACGAATGTAAAGTCGGGAGTGTCCGCACTATCTTCCACCAGTACGGCGTTCGGAACAGCAGCTAGCAATGCGCGTCTTGATCAGACTGGAAATGGACACATTGATGAGGCACTGAGACAACAGGCACTTGCTGAGGAGGAGGCTGCCATGAATCAGTACAAGGTACTAAAAATTCGTTAATTACTTTCAATTTATCCCCTGCATATTCACATTTATTTTTAGGCAAAGGTGCAGTCACCGTCTGGAGGACCGAGCACCAATCCCTTCCTAGCATCGCCAACTGGTGGAAATCAGCCAATCGTCGATTTATTCAGCTCAGCGTCTGCCAATGAGGTTAATAAATAATTCACATAATTCAAATAATTGAAATAAAAGTTGAGCAATTGGATTTTTAATTGGAGAATATCAACTCCAGGCGCAGAAAGCTTCAGACGATTTGCTCCAACTGGCGGGGAATCCCTTTGCGGACATGTTCGGAGCACCTCAACCTGGTGCACCTGTCCAGGCAGTACCCCCAGGGAACAACATGTGGATGGCCAACGGTAATGGTAAATAACGAAAAAAAAACTCAATTGAATCACTCATCAGTTGACCAGAGCACATATTTAGATTTATATTTTACAGCACCCATACGTTTTTCTTTTTATTTTATCCATTTGTTTTTGTAGGTTTCGTCGCACCAACACCGCCAGCAAGTAATAACTTTGTTACAGATAACAACTTCTCATCCGTATTCGGTGGTCAAGATCAGCAGACGAGTAAGTGGAATTGTTAATCTATAACTGTACACGCGTTGTGCAGATACAACAGGTCTTTTAGGTTTTGTTATGAGCTTTACAAGCACAATTGTAATAACACTATACAACTTTTTGATTAACACTATATTTTTCAACATTTACCAAAATCAAGGAGGTACTCTTTCATTGTTACATAAAAATATGCAGCTTTTTACACTGAATAATTGGATCAACTAATTGGAAAAAATTTTACTTTCGAGGTAGTCCAGTGATTAATTCGACTGATAAAAAAAAATCTGATCGTATTAAATAATTCCTAGTCAATATTCTGAAATAACAAATGAGAGAATGATGGAAAAATCATGGGGACTACCTCAACGAAGTGAAAATAACAAAAAATAAAAGATCAAATCAGATCAAAAAATCAAATCAAAACGAACGAAAATGCCAAAAGATGAACTTTCTGCGCAAGCTGCCGCTCAGGGATCGGCCGTACCTAATCCTTTCATGGCGGATTTTTCCGCTCCCCAACCGGGTAATACAGCATCGAGCATCGGACTGTTCGATCAATCAGCGCCGTCAGATGGACAGCAACAGGGCGGAGACCTTTTCAGTGCTGGGGGACAGGCGGATTTATTTGGTGGCGAATCAGCAGATAATAAAACCGATTCCAGTGAAATGGATTATCCACCTGTGTGTCAATCAGGTGTTCAAATGACTGGTATCAATGCTAAATCAACTGCTACTCCGCCACCAAGACCGCCCCCTCCCACAGGTAGTAATGGCACACCACGTGCACCATCACCATCAGGTGGTGTATCATCAAAAAGTGCATTCGACGATCTTAATGATAGCATACGTATGGCTCTGGGTGGGTCTCCGTCCCGTCCATCACCCGCTGTGCAACAACCACCTCACGTACAACAAATGACACAACAGCAATTAACACAACACCAGAGCTTTGGAGTGTTTGACGTGAGTGGTGGTGGTGTACAAGCGGGAAGTGGACAATCGGTTGTCGGTACTGTACCCGGTTATGGTGTTCCTACTACCCAAGTACCCGTTGGATACGGCTCTCCGGTCAAGCAGCCAATGGCAGGTGACGGGAATTAACGCATTTATTCTTGAGTTTTATAAGAAGAGAGATGAAATCTCTATTTTTACCATCAACCATCTCCCATTATATATCCAATTCATTTCAAGTACTTCATCATCAGTAAATTGACGATCCGCTTTCTCAACGCATCATTTTTCTCTGGTCTTAGGGTAATTTCTATAAAATCCTCTCCCTTTTGTGCGTTCGCATTAATATATCGTATACTCGGTTGAAAGATTATTGAATAATAAGGAAAAATATACGTGAATTATGTGGTTCTCCCCATTTTTCATCGATTTATGGCGTTTTGAATGGAAAGTGAAATAAAATGGACAGGAGAAACGATCCGAAGGCGAAACTATCACGAAACAACAATATGAAAGTCATTTCAGAGGAGAAAAAATAAATGAGCCTATAATAAAACAGCATCCGTATCACAAACAGAAAAAAAATCCGTAAATCAACGATAATTGAATATTCTCTCCTTATTTGACTCAAGCATAAATGAATTTTTATTGCCTTATTTCATTCACACATTTAACGCTTCAACTTGAGTTAATTCTGCATGAATATTTTCATTTCCCTGTCAACTATTCTAATGCACCAATTTTCAAATACTGATCGCATCGAGCCCAGCCTCAATACCATAAAAAAAACAACTCAGTAATAACTTCATTGAGTCAGTAACTTCATGTTGTCTAATTGTGTAATTGTCTGTGTACTCTGAGGATTGGTGGTATCGGGTATTCACGACTGAATTTCACTCTAAACCGCACTCTGTCAGCAGTAGGTTAATTGCAGTCACCATGATAACAATGGGTACTCGTTGGACCATATGTTTTTTTTTTGTGATTTTTTTTCTGTGGGTCAAACTGCTTTCTCGGCTTGTGCGTTAATCCAGCTATTGCTTAGGTTTCGATGGTGTGGGCTCGGTGTTAATGCCATCTTCTACGACTGTGTCTGGAGCTAATAACGTTTCAGCTGCTGGACAAACTGGTGCCACTACTGCTGGTAGTAAAGTACTGACTGGCGATCTTGATAGCAGTCTGGCAAGTCTCGCTCAGAATCTTAGCATCAACAAGAGTACGCAGCCTCAAGTCAAGTGAGTAAATCATTTTTCATCCAATGCATTGATCCTATTATTAAGGATGTTCCATAGCCATGAGCAACCAGAATTTACTTTTTTCAAATTTTTTGGCAAATCGTCGATGAAATTGATGTAAAAAATTTAATTGTTTAATTATCCAGGGGAATGCAGTGGAATTCGCCAAAAAATACAGCGAAAACTGGAGGACCAGCTGGTTGGACACCCCAACCAATGGCAGCCACCACTGGGGCTGGATATCGACCAATGGTGAGAATAAAAATATGCAGATTTAAAAAAACAGCATTTATCACGATTCTCGCACGTTAGATGTTCTACAAATAGTTTTTATCAACTTGAATTTGCACAGAATTAGCTTGAATCACTCGAAAGCAATAAATCTCATGAATTTATTGGATAGGATCACTCGAGTATTTTATTTTTTCCCTCGAACGAGGAGAATTGGAAATTTATTCTTACTACCGGTTATAATGTCCCCGGCGTTGAGCTTCTCAAAGAACGATGATAATTGCGGCTGATCCTGGAGAATCGAGCTGAAAAAATTTTTTTTAGACTTTCGGTTTTAGTTTTATCATATTGGCATATTTAGTTTGATGCATGGCACGGCATATGGCATGTTGCCGGCTGTTGCAGGGCCAAGGAATGACGCAACTTCCTCCAACCACCACTTTTGGCTTTCCTACCCAGTCCGCACCACTGGTGAGTTTCATTGCACTTTTTTTTTGCCATTCCACCATTTCTCCGTTAAAAAAAAAACAACACAAAAATCCTATTGAGCACATTTTATCCGTCTGCTGATAATTTTCTTCAGTAGAATAAATAATATAAATTAATACTCATTGATTAATTAATTAATAAAGCTACTAACTCATCGATTAATGCAATAATCGATAACTCAGATTTTTTTCTCCCGTTTTAATCGTCAATCTTAACTGACGACGAGTAAGAAAATTTATGAGATCGTGGGTGTTGAGAAAAAAAATTTCGTATTTACGAATATTTTTGAAATCTTTAGAGAACGAATTTTTTACTCGACACGCACCCCTGGATGTTTTTACCACTGTTTTATTAATGATATTGATAATTGAGTTGATTAATTGGGTTTGGTATTGTGGTGAATAAAAGCAAGAGAATCATACTACTCGTGGCCTTTGGCCTTTTGCATAGGGTATGCAAGGTATGCCAATGGGAATGCAGGGCATGAGGCCGATGATGGGGGGTATACCAGGTGCCCCAGCTGCCCCCGGTGGGATGATGGTGGCTGGTGGTAATGCACCCATGATGATGCCAGGTAGTAACCCAATGATGGGAGCACCAATTCAACAGCAACCGCCCCAAAATCAGCCCCCGGGTAATGCGGTTCAACTTGATCCCTTTGGTGCCCTGTGAAAGGACTAGCAATAGGTACTATCTAACTTCAATTCAGTGGCGAAATAATAACGTATGTTAATTTTAAAATAAAAATTTGCGGACAAGCCAATGACGATGACAATTGATTATTCCAGCCCCTGGGAAATTTTTTTAATATTTTTATTATTTTGAATTAAATTAATTCATTATTTTTTATTGAATTAATTAATTCATTCATTCCATTTACTGTTTCGCTGCTGAATTAATTATTACATTTTTCTCATGCTCTATTAACTTTTGTGTCATTTTTCGTGTTTTTTTTTTATTTTTGTTTTTTTTTTTTGGTGATTGGAAGTGATGTACTAATTGATTGTCATTATTGCGATGCGATAAAATGACGGGAGGGAATGAGTTACGAATGATTCGTAAAATTGCAGGACTCCCGTTGGAATTAAATAACACGGAGCACCAAACTGTAAATACTGTGTAATATGCCTACAAAATGTGCCCGGCTTTGTTTCATTGACTTGCATCAACCGTTCTCTCCTGATCTGCCTTACTCCGAAAAAAATCAATCCATCGAAGGATCAAGGATCATCGTCCCACTGCATTCAACCACGAAATCATCATTCTCAGCATGTGTATAAAATCGCCACATGTAAGGGCCCAGAGTGCTTAGTGAATGGCCGATGATCGTAAAAAGTTGGCAATAAATAAAAGAGAATAATCATGAGTTCCATTGAGATTGGGATGCGCGCCTCAGGTACTGTGTTTATTATTAGAGCGTGTCTGCAAATCGAGTTTATCCATTGCGTTATTGGCCACATCAGCAGCGTGCCTGCCAAAGATATTTTTGGGGTTTGAATTCGCAGTTAAAAAATCATGATTTATTGTTCCGATTGTCATGCTCCCAAAAATACTTGCAACAATTATGATGTGGTGGAAGTTACCGAGAAATATCTCGGAATCTATGAGAGATAGTCGAATTTTTGTGATATTCTTTTTTGTAGTTCTCGTTGCTCTCTGCAAAAAAGGTCCTGACGAAAATTTCGATGTGTCTCGTAGATCCTGAGGTATTCCCCGATAACTGTGATAAGGGAATAAGTCGATTTGGTATTCTCCATAATTTTACTATTTTTTGTTAATCCTGCATGATGAGAGGAGGTTTAGATAATTTATAAGAGTTGTCCGATTTTTTCTTTAAACCCTCGATAATGTAGCATATCTTTGTTGTACATTATTAATTCATTTTTCCATCATTATTCATACGTATTTTGCAATAATTTTGGTAACTAGCCGGTGGACGGTTGGAGGTACAAGTATTATAATGGAGATGTCATAATCATCCTGTTGTGCACGTTATCCATAATACGTGCAGAATAATGTGTACAGGCGTTCGTATATGAATATTATATCTGTATAGAAATGAAAATGATAAATAATGTTATAATTTTTAGGATAATATCGATGAATGTTTCGTTGTAATGCTCCGATATAATTCTGATGGGTTATATTATTTTCCACGTTATGAGAAAAAAAAATGAATTACGATACTCATGTGAATTCTCAGTGTGGAAATTTTGTTAATTAACAAAATTATTGGCTTATCATCGACTTTTTTTTTCTGCTGGCCATCTGAAAATTGTTCCCTTGTGTTTGAAGCATGTTCACTTTTTGAATTGAGTATGTGGATCAATTATTACTCGGTCAATTGAATAATTCAATATTAACCGTTGATTAAATACAACTGTACTAGTCGGTTTGACTGTTTAAAATGACCTACATATTATTGGCAAATCATGATCAAGGAAAAGATGGACAAAACTCTATTTTGAACGACTCGTACTGGCATTTAGCTGTTTTTTCCGATAGTGGAATTAAATATTTGTATTATATCGATTTAATGAGAAAAAGATTACCTATGAATTATCACGGCAGATGTAGTCTAGATGAATATCAGCAGTTTAGGAGGCACACGGAGGGATCAGATACATTTCCTGTAGCATTACGTGAAAATAATAAAAAAGATAATTACTTGATAGTGTTTGAATTCCTCTGATACCAGACACAATTGGACTTTGAATAATTTTGAGAATATTTTAAAGAGATTCTTGATATTTTACGCACAAATAAATGAGTTCATTGATCTTGTGAAATTTATTAGGATTGTCCGATTTGTTTGGTACTGAGTGCCGATACTAATGAGTAATTTCATGAATAATAAAATAATCAGCCTGAAATGTAGATGGCAATCCATCTCTACTGGTCATTAAATGTAACAGGACAATATTACGTGGATTATCCGTACATCATAAAGAGAAAGATGAGAATATAAGTGCTGTAAACGAAAAGGTACACCTTGCTAGGCTAGATTATCAATACTACCCATCGATATAAATGAATTGAAAAATTCTACAGGCCAATAAACTCAATGCACCAGACCAGTTGTCGAGAATAATTCGGTGCATCTATATTTATTCAAATCCTATATATTGTTCGAAAGAAAAAGCATATTCTCGTAAAAAATACAAGGACAAAATTCACTGTAACATAAATAAATGAAAAAAAAAAATTGTTGAAACAGATATTGGGATTCCGGCAATCATGGCTTCGCTATTTATGAAAAAAAGAAAAATGGAGGAAACTGCTTAATTGTTAATTAGTTTTTATGTAGAAATTGCATCATGTGGAAACGAGGATATTTAACTGTTTTGTGCAGTTGTGAAACGCCAACGACAAAATCAACACTTTAGTCGAATTGATTAAATTGTGAATATTGTATAAAATAGGGGAGGGAGAATATTCTTGGTCCACCTGAGTTGCATCACAGGCGAATGCTATCTTAATAAATTAATGAGTGAAATACCAAACGTTGATGAGTTGATTGTTGAGTATTGCAGAAGTAGCAAACTGAATAAACAATCATGAGGGATTTATGAATGAGAAAAATTGTAGAATATGAACGAAATAATAAAACAGATGTCCATCGTAATGACTCTATTGTCCGCTGATTTTTTTTCTGCATTTACTTTTTATTTTTTCACGGTAGACATTGTCTTCCAGATTCTTCAGTTGGGATTTGACAAGACAAATGCAATGGGGTCCTCAAGGAATGATAATTACTCATCTCGTGATGATTATTCATCGTTACTGTGGAATTCAATGAATTGAAGACTCGGGTGAACTGAAATGCAATCCCCTCGACGCATCTACCTGTTGAAAAAGGTCATAACATTTCTAAAGGTGTCTCTTCAAGTGCCATCACATTGAATAAAAATTCTTGACACTATCTCGACTCTGCTAACAAAACCTCATGTGAGGAACTTCGTGTAGAAAGTTATCACTGGCTTACGCGATATTTCCGTTTGAAAAGCAGAATTACCGTGGGACTCGATGCTCACACGTCATTTGATTGTTTCTCCTTCTTGAATTTCCATTGGATATTCACCTTATTTACACAGTCATTGAGTTTACTATTCAGAAGAGGAAAATGGAATACAGCAACGATGTTATACCATACGAGAGAAAAATCCCTTTCTAAAAAATCCAGAGGTATCGAAAAATGTCATCATTTGCGCCGCATAATATCGATTATAGAAATATTTTTTTCATAATCATCATATTATATATTATTATAATAGGCCGAGGCTATATGGGATGAATCAGGAGATTCGATGGACGAGGGAAAAAAATGGAGCGTAAGAATCCATTCCTCAAAATTTCAATTATTCCAGAATTTTATTAAACTCAATTAATAAATAATTATTAAATTCTCATATAATAAATTTCAAAAGCAGAAGCAAAAAAATCAGTGTATGAAGTTGAATAGTTAATTTTTGGTGATTTTTTTTTGTCTATAAGTACCCCAAATATGGAAATGGCTGTTTGTCGATTGCTCGCCTTCGGAGATGTTCGGATGTCATGAAAAAAAAAATGTCAAATTTGATTTTTCGAAATGCTAGTTGTCTGAAAAGACGATACACGAGCGATAACGAAAGAATTTAATCTTTGATCTGCCTGCGACGAAACGTGAAGCAGATGAAAGGGCAACCATGTGCACAAAAGGTAGAAGCCGATAGAAATCGGCGTGAAGTGAAAAAAAAAAGGTAACCATCGAGAAAGGATTTCTCCTTGTATTTGTCGTCTTCCGTGATCATTGTATGTATCGTCTCTGAGAGAATGACTCGAGAGATTTGTGGCTTTTACGATCGTCACGAGTCGTCAAAAAATAAGGAATACAGCATCGATCGGTGGAGGCGGGTATTCGGGATCGGGAGGTGAAGTCATTCTTATTATTGCCGGGATTTAATTTTTTTTTCAATGAAATAACTCCTGCCAAGGATTTGCCCCGTTGTTTACTGTCACCGTGGCGTGTGGGTGTCACATCCTAGAAGCGATAGATCTTTACTTTCATTTGGGGCCACGGGTTCCCCTCTGACCCGACCACGGCATCTTCTTCCGGTCCCGATATTTTATTTATCCACCCCTCCGGGTCGCTCCACAGATTTATTGCACTCTGAGATAATGACACTTGAACAATTTTTAAATTACAATCTCCTGACAGATCTCGCCCTTCGAGAATAAGTATTTCAATGAAATTCTCTTCCCCGATAATTTTAATTGCAGATGATGAGTAATGAGATGATGAAAGTACGGATTGACACAATAAAATCTTTACTTATAGCGTCATGAAAAATTCTCTGGGGACGAGAGAAATTATTTCTTCATTAATAACAAGAAAATATTGATTGGACATGAGGAAAAGTTTATGGGAATAATTTTTGTGGGTGTAAACGATAGAGATGATAATCTCAGCAATAATGAAGTGAGTTCAGTATTTATTTCTTCTATTAATTGTGTAATAAATTAAAAGATAATCAATGAGTTCAATCAAGCTGGACAAAGATGCTTTAATGAACCCAATGATGGCGAGTAAATGACTCTCTGTCACAATACTCGAAATAAAAACACTCAGCGAAAAAATCTCTGTCCATTGTGAGACACCGAGAATTCTCAACTCGATTTCTCATTTCTCTCGACTTCATTTGAACTCAAGGAAGTACAAGGAGTCAGAAATCTCCAGGGGGTGGATACCCGTGATTCGCTCCAACGAATCTTCTACAACTCTTCCTATTTCCTATTAATCCCCACGACTCAAATCCACTGGAATCAAAAATTTCTAATTCTTTCATTATCCCCTGAATAATTATTCTGAATTTATTCTATTAATTGCCGAGTGTTTTTGAATTCTATAAATCAATTATATTGGAATTATATTGAAAGATATTAACCGGTTTATTCGATATATATATAAATATATGTACATATATATGAAATATAAACCATATAATTTATTTAATATTTTATGATGAAAAAAGACGTGAGAAATTCCACCGTGAAATTCTTATATTTTTATAAGATAAGGAAAAGCTTCAAAAAAATATTACATTGGGCCTTTTAATTCTATAATCTCTCTGGCTCTAGCTCAGAGTCTGAGTCTGAATTCCGATTCTTATATATCTATCGAAAAATGAAATGAAAACTCATGTAACAACAAAACAAAAGTAACAATACGCGCGCGTTCATCTCTAGTCATATAAATCATATAAAAAATGTTATTTATTTTATTTAATACGAGACATTTCAGACTGCAGGATAAATATTTTTTTGGTGTGGCTGTGGTGGTGCAGGCGTGTTATACCGCAGCCACCGGGACAGGAATTCGTCCCAGTGGCACATAAAAATCCTCATTCTTTCTCCACCGAAGAGACAAACACCAACTTAAATGGCGGAGGGTTGCCAGCTGTCTGCCATTATCCACCAGTAAACCTATTAATTTTCCCAATGTTTTGTAACGAAGAATCATCTTCAGTTACGAAATATCCATTCCCCACTGATTAACCCGCCATTTTTCTCCGAATTTTCGTACCGTCCAAAGGTCTTCGACATTTTTTTTTTTTTCGCAATACTCATTGACAAATTGGTGAAAACAGAGAGAAAAGAGATGAATAGAGGATACGGATGAATCGAAGCGAGACTCCAGTGGATCCAGGGATTCTCTTTGAAAAATGAAAGTTCTAGTCGTCTCCTGGATGTTTTTTTTTTTTTTTTTTCCGTTCATGTGTGAGGTGAGGAGATCGTTATCACGGGTATTATGTGGCCAACGCGTATTGTTCACGTTGATTTTACGAACAAGAGGGGGAAAACGGTGGGAAAATGCACTTTCGTCGTGCGAGAGAACACTTTTTTTTTTCACCTGACGGTTTTTTATTTTTCTACTCGCGGTTTTCCGCGAGGGGGAGGGGGGCAATGGTAATGTATAACCTCGCACTCACCGACCTTCTTCATTGAATTGTTTTAAATTGCATGTCGGCGGAAGTCATGCGTGTTACTTCATGTGGGGGATGAGAGCGGTTACGTCTGGATGATTGAAGCATTGATTTTTTTTTTTCATCAGGATCTTAATGGAGTCGTGGAAAACGGAAAAAAAAATTTACTCATTATTTATTTGACAGAATTACCGGGACATTGTGGGGCTTCATCCCTTGAAGAATAAAAAAATTGCTGAAAGTATTGGGCTGAGCTTTTTCTCAGGTGAGTTTAAAAAATTGAAGTCGGCAAAATTATTTTAGAATATAAATAAATATAACAATAAAAAATATTCAACACGAATAAAACGTGAAATAAAATTTTTCACAGTTTTTTTTTTTATTTTTTCAGTTCGGCAGAAATTGTGGATAATCCCAGAATAAATATATTTAAGATTTCTTTCGTGGGAGTATTGCGAGGGAATTATAAATAAATAATTGATTACTGGGGTCTTGATAAGTGGAAATAAATTTATGTAATCTTGTGATGTCACGGATTAACAGAGGAAAGAAATTCCGCGGAGGCAGTGATCTTGAAGCTAATTACGTGGACAGATTTGTTTAAAAATATGTGGAGTAATTTATAAAAATGATCAATCACTCAAAATTACTGAAGACCATTGAAATATCTTCTCTAAATTGTACACCGCAAACGTGACGTTCTCTTCTTGCGTGCTCTCTTCCACTTCCAATTTCTTAACGTTTAAATTGTAATAAACGCTTTTGTCGAAATAACATTCGCTTTCTTCTCCTCGGCTCGACTCCAAAAAAAAAAAAAAAAAAATGGCCTCCATTAACCGACGAAACGACATTCGTAATTCGCGCGAGTACCAGAGCTTCAGTACAGAGACTTCAAGACCCATTTTGCTTTTTTTTTTTTAACTCTAGAGGATTTTTTTTTTTCAAATACTGCTGAAACGAAAAATACACTTTATGACTCGCCATTTTTTTTTTTATCCGTTCGCGGGAAAATTTCGCGTTTACCGTTGCAGATTATTTTGTTTTGTGACATGATTAATTTTGCGGGCATAACTTGGAGGCATTGACCGTGAATTGGAAGACATTTCATGAATGATTCTAGGGTAATGAAGGATTACGTGGTAAATAGAGTGGATGAACAATTGGTGACACAATTATTATTAATTTCACCGACAATATTCGATCGTTTAAACTGGAATTCCCGTGGTCTTCGGAGATTGCACTGAGAAAAAAGAAATTCCCGACAGGAAATAATGGAAATTTTATTGATTTTTGGCTGTTAATTAACTGACTGAAACAATTGAATGATGAGGATGAATATAATAAGCATAATGTCAATAATTATTGAATCGATAATTAGCAATTGTCTTCGGACTTCCCTGAACTTTCCTGAACATCAATCATCTCAATTGATTTTTAACGAACAACTTTCTTTGTGCAATTCAATGAATTTCGCGATGGAGAAAGGGCATCCGCACTTGAGCAACAATTGCGCAATGATGATCTTCATAATTTCCCAACAGTGGTAAACGAAAAGAGTTAAAATGAAAGATTAGTAGAAATAATCAGAGATGTGATTGGTAAATTGCAACAATTTCTCGTGAGAAAATTGAACTCTCGAAGAAAGGGAATCCACCGATTTCGATGTATTGCATAGTTCCGTTAATTATTTCGGCAATTGAATTTAATTGTTGAACTTTGTGAATTATGCCGTTTACGAAACGACATTTGAACACTCCATTGTCCCACCAAAATCCATTCATCATGCATGGGCTCGGAGTAATGAGTAATTACCTAATTATGCTCATGACCCGGCCACGAAATTCACGTGCACCGAGAGGGGATTGTTCTTTTTTTTTTATTTGAGGTGTAAAGCGTGCAGAGATTACCATCGAGTTTGACAATAAATGAAAAATGAGGGACTCTCGTTGTAATTAAAGGGTGATACCTATCTTAATTTGCACGTACAATTAACAAAGCGACAATTTATACCACGAAACATTCATATTTAAACCGGGCAATAAAAAAAATTTGCCATTACGATATGAAGATGAGACTTCCATGAGATTGCGATGAACTTTGCGTCAATGAGGGATACGTGATGATTATTTATATTATTATAATGTCAAGTGCCACAGAAAAATCATTTCCACCGATCTCCAGAAAAATTCATTGCTCCCTCCGTTGACTCAATCAGTCAATGCTCAATCAATCAGCTAAACGATCATTTATATTTCCGTTGATGACCCTAAATTACCTCGAAGATATGATCTGAGTCCCTGAGTGTCTGAGTCCCATCCAGAAAATAAAATCATTTCTCAATGATGGATAATAATTTTGAAATAATAAAATTGAAATAATGACTCGGGTGATTGCAAATGATTTAATCAATGAATCAAGGTGTCAGGTATTTCAGGATATTTCTCCGGGGGATGACTGCTAACCTCGCTTTCCTTTCCACGATTTTCTTATATATTTACATTTTTCTTTCTCCGACATCTTTCTCCACTGGCATCCCGCAATTTGTGCAACTTTGGTCACTGGTTTATTGCGATTACACCGGAGTACTTGAAGAAAATAGATGATAAAACCATTCTTCCTCCTCTGTCGCTTGGACTTACGCCTCCTGGACCTCTTCGCCATTCTCCCAGAGTAATGAGTTATTACCGATGATTAGATTTCACTCGTATAATTTTGCAACATTTTATTCAGCTCTTGGTGATTGTGACTTATCGGAATTTTGGGTAATTAATTCTTACGTGATTATTTAATTTATCTCTTTGGCATTTCCGGTGAAGTGAGCATCGGTAGTTGGCAGTTATCTTCAGGTTAAATCGGCTCTTCTTTTTTTTTGATGGAAAAAAAAAATTACAATTCGAAAATTCGTGGGAATGGATTTTATCTCGCACGATTTTTCCTCCCACTCTCCATATTTCCGGTATTCGAGTACTTTAGTAATTAACATTTTTAAATATTCCGGTACTTGAATATTCAATAGTCCTCGGCAAGTCCGTCAAGTAGTTCCCTAATTTCTACAGATCCCCACGGACTGGCGATGAAAAAAAGACAATTAATTCCAACGAAAATAATTATTACAAGAAACATTTATTCATGAATAGAAATTCATCTTCAGAATAAATAAATAAATAAAGATCGATTCGATAAACTTTTGGGTTTGTTTTTTAATTCAAACCCAAAGGCTTTGGCAAGAATTTTCATCAGATTTTCCAAATATTTTATTAATTTATAAATAATTATAAATTAATGATTAAATTCTCTTTTCTTGCAGCACTTGGGTGAGTCCAAGCTCCTGGGTGTTTCAGAGTGCTATTACAATTCAATATAAATCTAACGACTAGATTCAATGCAGTTAGTGAAAAGTTAACTTCTTGCAATGTTTCAACGCGTAAATAGAGTTGCAGTACCAGTGGGGAAAACCCAGAGGTCGTTTTCCCCGTTGTTTTCGTCAATGGTTTTGATAAGAGAGTTACAGAGTGTTGAGAATTTCAAACCAACTTCTCTGATTAATCCCTTCTCCTTCAAAACAGAAAATAAATTCTCAGGAGAACGGGAAATGGGAGAATTTACAATCTTTTATTGTTCATTGGAAAGCGCAAATGGAGAGTATTTCTGTTGGCAGAGTGCACAGAGTTTTCCACCAAAAAGTTTACCTCTTCAATGAACCTGGCGACAATTTTATTTGTTTACTCGTACAATTCACTGGTTCATTCTCTTATCAGAGAAGCTAGTGCACATGAAATTTTCTCGCAAGTTGAATACCAATGGAGCAATCGTAATTCACTAGAGTAAATGTTTCCCGAGTCAATTGGATTTTTGGGGAATAATGAAAAATTATTGATTCAATTTATCGTTCATTGCTCAAATACTCTGGAGTAATCGATACACGCAATAAAAAATCAAAAGGTATCAACCCTCGATCCCTCGATAATCCTCGATTTATCGATTCACACCTCAGCTCCCACCTGATAACGAAAAAAAAATAAACAATTGCAATGGCTCCACTGGAAACTTAATAACTCCTCGGAATCCGCGAATTTCGCTCAAGTCGTTACATTTTTCTCATTACACAGCATTTTTTTTTTTCCAACGCAATGGCGGATGTGGGCGAACCCTCGGGCAATCTCCGGCGTCAATCTCTCCCATCGCAAGGACATAAAGCGGAATATAAATTAGATACCAGGAAGATCGTTGTTACGAACCCAGCGGAAGGTGTTTAATTAAGCACCAGCGAGAATCTCTCCGATGAAGCAATTCATTTTTCACTTATTCCTTGTGTTTTGGTACGAGAGATTGTTCGATTACCAATTAATCGATCCCCGGAGAACGCGAATTTGTTGAATTCTCTTTGAAATTTTTATTTTTACTGGAATTCATTTCACCATGAAATGCAAAATGCAAAATTACTCTCTCCCATTTATTTATTTATTTTTTGACTATTTGATTATTTGTTGAAATAATAATAAATAATAATAATAATAATGGTATTATATTGTCCGGTGGACTCAATGTTTGCCCTCCGGATGTGCCGTATTGTGTTGAAAATTTTTAATATTTTATCTCAGGAAGAGAATCGAATCGCAGCAACTTGAAGACATTTGTTTACTCTAGTGGATGATGAAGAGAAAGAGGGGATTCCCCTCGTGTTCTCGTGAATCTCTTTTGAATTTTTTCATCCCATTTGATTTTTTTCTCCTTCCAGGTATCATTGCTTTGTATGCAAACAAAATATGCGCCTCGGAAATGGCTGATCGATGGCCGTGAATGGCGAATTGTCGGAGAACGTGACTCCTCTCGCTGAAAAATGGAAGCTGAGAAAAAAAAATTTATGAAAAAAATAACTAGGCGATCCGTTATGTACCCTAAGGATCCAAACTCGTCGGTAAAGTACACGATCCATAAACAGCCGTTGGCTAAAGATCACTCTCACTCGTGACATGATGACCTCTAGTTTATAAATCGGGGATTCCCAGTTGGAGGGACTAGGTGGCAGCATTTTCTCCTCGAGAATTTTTTCACATTTTTTTTTGAATTAACGAAAATAATACTTTCAATGAAGATAGAATCGTGAAGTTTACGGGATTCGACAGGGGAAACCCTAGACTTTCTTCTGGAGTCATGAAAAAAATTGGGGAATCACATATATATTTTTTTTTATTTACTAGAGATGAACGCGCGCGTATTGTTACTTTTGTTTTGTTGTTACATGAGTTTTCATTTCATTTTTGGATAGATATATAAGAACCGGAATTCAAATATTCAGATTCAGACTCTGAGCTAGAATCAGAGAGATTATAAAATTAAAAGCTCCAAATTAAATTTTTTTTTAGATTTCCCTTAGGTTATAAAAATATAAGAATTCCATGATGGGATTTCTCACGTCTTTTTTCATCATAAAATATTGAATAAAGTATATGGTTTATATTTCATATATATAAATATATATAATACATATTTACATACATATATACACATCGAATAAACTGGTTTCAAAAAACATTTACATTGGATTTTTTTAAAGGGAAAAAGAAGAAGAATATGTACATATATGTATATGGAATATATAAGGTTTTTTTTTTTAGCATTTGGAGGCAGATGATTTTGTGAGCTGTTTATTCAGTGAGTGTGCGCAGTGAGAAGTTGGTGTTTGTGTTGAGGCAGGGAATAGCCGTGGAATAGAGAGTGTGGAATAGTTGCCTGGAGATGAGGGTGAGAGGGTTGTGAGGAGTGAGGGTAAAGGACGTGGAGGCGGCATGAGGTTTCCATGCGGCACCGGTGAACCGTCAGTATCGTGTCGCGACTCCTCCGTGACGTATCATCTGTGCTGTGACAAATAAAAAAAAAAAATCCATCTCCACCAACCCATAAGCAGTTTGTTTAAAATCTGAAAGCGAAATTATTCTCTTTATTTCTCCCATTAAAAAGGAGTTACGCCGGACCGAATCAATGCCCGAGGCTCACGTGTCGTTTACCCAGCGATTTTAAACAACAAAGTGGATTAATTTGGTATGTATGTTGTGTTTGGAATTTTTTAGTTAACATAAGCTCGGGAATCAATTCCACAAAATTTAAATAACGAAGCAGATCAATTTCCCAATTGCTAGGGCGTTGCGCCATAAAAAATTCAATTCATCAATTGATATGATTTTAATTATTGATTAAAATTCGTCAGAATAACACTAACGACGCGGAATTAATAATTGGAGAGCTGATTAATTAAGAATGAATATGAATAATTTCGTATGAATACCATTTATGGATTTATGATGATCTCGTTCATGAGAAGGGCATGATTTTATTGGTTATCAATTGGTAATTATGAATAATTGGGGTGGGGAAAATTAACAAGGCTGCGGCTTGCCACCGAGTTTGTACAAAAAATCGTAAAAAAACTTATTATCCTGTTTCCGCGTTGATTTTTTTCGCGACAGGTTCATACGGAAGCGCAATGCGTACCGCACGCTCGTTTCGCCGGTCGTAACGAGAGGCGCACACCGTGCGTTATTACCTCTTTGTGTCGTATCTCCATGTGCAACATCGTAAAATAAACCATATGCTGATGAATAAATGTGTTAACGAGTTTGAAAAAATGGCGAATTGACAAATTTTCCTCGCGGCTCAGGGTAATCTCACGTTATGCATCGTACAATGACCGCCAATGATCTCGCGTAATTGTGGAACAAACAAACACCATGTGCTGGGGTCATCTGATATATAGCGGAAAATCCGACGGTAAATTGTCAGTTTTATAAATTTAACTCGAATTTTTAACAATTACTTATTAATCCGGGGAAAAAAAAATTGCAATCGGAATTTTTTCCGAATTTTCATAAAATTTCTGGAAAAATTTTCAGACATTTTTTTTTTAAGAAACCAAAAAATAGTGGAAATAAAAGAATTTTATTTTGAGGATACGTTGGGAGAAATTTTTCAAAAATTTGAATAGGAAATTTTTTTTTAATATTGAAAGATTAAAAAAGGAAAAAAACAATAGTATAATTAAAATAAAAAATTATATTCGCGAAAATCTTTCCCACCATTTTTTGGTTTTTCATTTGATTTCGGGAAAACGAAAAAAATGGAAAATTACGGGTTCCATTCGATTTACCTCCAATTTAAATTTGAATGTCGCAAATTTGGAATCGCGGGTATTGCGGGATAAAAATTTCGGGAATTTGAAAAGCCAGAGGAAAATGGTGATTAGTGCGTACGAGAGAGAACAATCGGATGAGGGAATATTCCGTGAGCTCATGTGAGGCATACGGTAATTGTGCTGTTGGATTTGATTGTAGAAAGAGGGAGGATGGCATTTTTTCATTGCAGACGAGAAACGCTTTTTCAAGTGATTAATTGTCCTGGTCATGGGGCTATTCAGATAGATATTTAAAGAGTAATTACTGACACTGAAAATTTGTTGTCGAGGCTTTCCCCGTAAGTTGTGGAAGTTATAATCCCATTTCACTGTCAAATGACATGAAAACGTCCGAACGGAAAATCAACAGGAGTAATTAGAGTTTTAATGCCCAGGATTTTCGTGGGGCGGTGAAAATTAGGGGAAAACAATTAGAACGTCGAAGGATAGGTCTCTATTTTTTAAATAAATTACTCTGAGGACAACTCGTGGTGCAGTACGATTTACCAGCATGTTCTATTCAGTGGCACACATGTCTAGGGATGATTTAAGAACCCGAGCTTTTTCAAACTTTTTCTTTTATCCTTCGCGTTCTGCCAACTTGATCTTGGCACGGACATTAATTTTCGTTAAGGCATTACGTGCTTGCGATCGATGATTATCAGTACATGAGCAGAATTTCAAGGCCCATTTTCCTCGAAGGGGGAAAATCCCGGGATTTTTTCATTGTAATCTTTGTAATCTTCTTACGTTTTATATATTATTGCAGTTAATTTTGCGGGGAAATTATGGAGAATGTCATGATATGTCGGAAATATTTTCCATTACGTGGAATATTTTTGTTTTCCACTGATCATCAGTGGATCACTGACAATGCGATGAAATAACGAAGAGAATGGATTTCCAGGTGTGGAAATATGAGTGGAGAATCACGAAGAAACGAGGAACTCCTGTCTCCATATTTTATCGTGAATTTAATCGCGTGGAGTTCTATCTCGATAATTAATCAGATTCTGTGGGAATCGTATGAAAATTAAGGATTAAATATGCAGATGATGATTGAGATTCTGGCCAAATTGTTGGGATGCGAAAGAAATGATAAATAATCCTTCCAATAACAGGACACATTTTTCCATTGCAATTTCATTTTTTTCGGGCAGTTTTCACGAAATTTCTTGGAATCGAAGGGAGATACCGAGATTTTCATAGATATCTTTTTTGGAGCTATCCTTTTTCTCTTTGGAAAATGTTCTTATGAAAATCTTGCTATTTTCTTTTTATAGTGAGATATCAACGAAAAATCGGTTGATTCTGCTTGACAATTCGTTTTAACCGGTTTTCCCCTATTGCAATTGTTGCCCCTAGACTCGATTCTGTTTGCAGTTGCCGGGAATTAACTGTTTATTTAGACGTGAAATCGATACGGGTATTACCAGGACTTAATGAAAGTCGGTCTCTCAATCAGCACTGAGTGACTCCCCCGATCCGCAGTGGCAAATACCCCTGGAAAGAAACATTTAATTAAATTTCTCTGCTCTCTTTAGGGCGCAAATGATCTACCGAAACTCGGAAAATAATATCGTAAGGCTGAAGTTCCCAGTAGTTACAGAATTCAAACGTTCAGACTCGGAGGTTGTATTTGAGTTTAATAGCACCGATGCCAGCAATTGGGAGTATCACAATGTCTACTCCCATAGTTGAACTTTAGAAAATTGTCGAGAGGAAAATGGAGTTGACTCTAACCCATCTCTCAGAGAGAACTTCAAAATACCAGAGTGATCAGTTCTGGGAGTTAGTTTTAACAGTCGAATGCCCCCGGCAATCATTGGAGTTTATTCAATAAAATATTACAGAAATTTCATAAAAATAATTAATTAAAAAAAATCATACATTATATTTCATATTATATGTAATATTTGTATTTCTTTTATTTGTTTGAAAATAATTATTTATACTTCTTTTTATTTTACCACGTGATTTATTAATTTCAGATAAATTTTTAGTAGAAGTGACGGAACTCGTGATTTTTAGCGGGAAAATGACGGGAAATGGAAATTAAAACAAAAGATTGGGAAGATTTAAATAGAGAAAAGGGTGAGGATGGAATTGGCAAATTTATTGTCAAAGGGAAAAATGGAGGGAATGAAAAAATGGGATTGCCTACCCCCGAGGATTATTTTGTACTCTGGAATAGAAAAACGAAAAAGGAGAAAGTGTAAAATCGACTTTTACTCTCCCAGAGGTCTCCTACATGTTCCTTGGACCGACTGGTGGTCTTTGATGTTAATGTGTCCTTTCAACTCTATGATGTTCTCTCTGTCATGGACGACGCAATTATGCTGACCTCGGTTTTTCACCGATGGCATATAACTGTCTCCAAAGTAATACGGAATTTTCAGACCTACATCTCATGAAAATTTTGAATTTTTCGATTTCAGTGAATATCGCACCAATTGTCATGTTGTCCTGATACTTTTTCAAAAATTTTGAATTTTCAAATTTCAGTGAATACCTCCACCATTTTCATGCTCCCCTGATACATTTTTGATAATTTCGAATTTTTCAATTCCAGTGAATAGCTACTAGATTATCATGCTCCCCTGATACATTTTTGACAATTTCGAATTTTTCAATTCCAGTGAATAGCTACTAGATTATCATGCTCCCCTGATACTTTTATAAAATTTTTGAATTTTCAAATTTCAGTGAATACCTCCTCGATTCTCATGCTCCCCTGATATTTTTTCAAAAATTTCGAATTTTTAAATTTCAGGGAATACCTCCTCGATTCTCAGGCTCCCCTGATACTTTTTCAAAAATTTCAAATTTTTCAATTTCAATGAATACCTCCTCGATTCTCATGCTCTCCTGATACTTTTCCAAAAATTTCGAATTTTCAAATTTCAGGGAATACCTTCTCCATTGTCATGTTCCCCTGATACTTTTTTGAAAATTTAAAATTTTTCAATTTCAGTGAATACCTCCTCGATTTTCATGCTCCCCTGATACTCCTCTCTCTCACCTTTTCAACTCTGAACTTGAGAATAATTACGAGACATTACCATGCTTATTACTCCCCAATAAACGTCCGTCCAGAAATATGATCTGGGTTATAACCATTCCCAATTGCGTTTCACGGTTATGAAAGTTGTGACGGAGGTTTTGCATGGAGAGAAATATTCAACACAATTTTTTCCTTCTGGTAATTGCCCCGCGAATTTTTTATACCTGAAATTGTAGTAAAAATTGAACGTTCAATAAAAACTATCTTTACCCCGATTTTCGGTTGAAATTCTTGAATTGAATAAATGAAGATACCAAATTTAAAGATTTATTCCATTTTTCAAAATGTTTGCACTGTAATTTTAAGAATCAATATTTTTTTTTTCAAAAATCAAATTTTCCTCTGAAAATTCTTAAGCTAAAAAAAAAATTAATTTTCAAATTGTAAATATCCATGAGGCGGCATCCGAATTCGAGAAGCATTTCAAAAAATATATTTGTATGTTAATAAAAATGGAGGAGTACGTAAATTAAATTTCGTCTAATTGTTTTCATGTATTTGCCCTGGACGGCCATTATTTCCGGTGATGCTAACACGCGTTATTTCCATTCGTTTTTCGCATATCGTTGAACGATAAATTCATGTGGCCAACTTTCGGGCCCGACGCCAGCACGTCGGATCATATATATATACCTGGCTTTATCGTAGCCATCATTTTATCGACGCTCGTTTCCACAATTTCAACTGGACCATTCCCGGAAATCTAGGTTCAACCCCCACCCACCGACCAACCACCCACCACCCACCGCCGCCCACTCGGATTTTTTCTTTTTTCCGTCGGCGATTTTTCTTTTTCACTTTTCGCCCTGT